AAACCTATACATACTCTTAGACCCAGTACTTCTACTATTAGTTATACACAAACTAAAGAATGTGTGTAGCAGGGAGTATATACAAGAACATTCAGAGCAACATTAATAGCCAAAATCTGAAACCAGCCCAAACGCCATCAAAAGCAGGGTGGATAAACTAAGGCACAATCATATAGCAAAATATTCTATGGAAACAAAATAAGCTTTTATTACAAATCATTAAATTATTTAAAAAAATTAGAAAACCTATATCTGCACTTTCCCTGGTGGGCCAATGGTAAAGACTCAATGTTTTCAATGAAGAGGGCACAGGTGCCATCCCTGGTTGGGGAACTAATATCCCCCATGCCACACGGCATGGCCAAAAAATTAACGGAGAAAAGGAAAACCTGTATCTACAATACGGAAGAATCTCACAAACATAATAATGAATCAAAGAAGAAAGACAAAGTAGAAACATAAACCATCAAGCCACTTACTGAGTTCAAAACCAGGCAAAAGTGAATTAACTACATTACTTACAGGTTCATACGTGGATAAGTTAATAAGAAAATTATTATTAAAAACAGGAAAATAGTTATCTCCAGTGTAGGGAGGATGTTATGATGAGGGATGCACACTTCTGGGGGTACTGAGAATGTTACATTTCTTCATCTGGGTGACAGTTACATGTAATTACAGTTTTATAATTACTCTTTACATTTACATAATTTTAATATAAAGTTAAACTCTATATTCTTTATACATACACACACACACACACACACACAATGTACTTAAAAAAATGTGTCTACTTTCACACGAAATTTTTTTTGAAAAAACAGCAACAAATAACAAATAAAGCATTAATATTAAAAACACATAAAGCTCCGAAGAACAAATGATCAGGGAGTATAAATACACAGTTAACCAGAATATACACATACAAAATAATCTTACAGAAAAATGTTCAACTTTTCTAATAATTAATAGCATGAGGCAACATTTCACACCTATTAAAACAAGAAGGAGAAAGGAATACTGTGATATTTTACAAGATAAATGACAACCACAAAGACTGAGAAGCTACATGGAATAATTTAAAACTGTGGGAAAAAACAGCAAATTATGAATACACTAAGGTTATTTAGAAATTTTAAAATTTAAATTTCATGAGAAAATAAAAACAGCTGAAGTGAGTGAAAGACGGGATTATGACTGCAAAATTTTTCTTGATATTGAGAACATGGTTCATTAAAATATAGGACTTTTTAGATAAAGTAAACTCAACAGTTCCTTGCTATTCTTTAAGAACAAAGTCCCTATGTCATAATGCCAAGAACTTCCACTAGCTGATTTCAACTTGTATTTTCACTCTGTGCCAGGGATTGTAGGAGGCACTAGAGGAGAGAGATAGGCAAGACACAACTATTACCCTCAATGAGCTTCTAGACGAGTAGGAAATAGACATGCCAATAGAAATTATAATGGAATGGGGTAAGTCCTACAATTAAATCTTTTCTTAAAAGTCTTATGACTTCCCAGATGAAGGTAAAATTCAGGAAACTCATAGAGCAGCTTTCCAAAGAATCCTGAATTGGATCCTGAAGGACAAGTGGAACCTTTCAGACAGGCTGGAAGCTGTGAGGAGTAATCAATGCACTATTTGTGCAAAGACTGGTGTGTACGAACAAGGATCAGAGGAGACCGTTGAAAGGCCTCATGTATCAAGCTACAAGCGATGGAGACCCACAATGGCTTTTGGCATTTTGCTCCCCAAAATACTCTGCAGTTATCCATGGACCTCTTTTTCTATCCTTTCTTCCCTTAAACGAAATAAATACAAAATACAACCCAAGTAATATACAGCTGCAGTGCAATTCCATGAAATTTTTCACAGAATTAGAACAAATAATTCTAAAATTCATACAGAATCATTAAAGACCCCAAACTGCCAAAGCAATTGTGAGAAAAAAGAACAAAGCTGGAAGTATTGCTCGCCCAGACTTCTGACGACACTGCAAAGCCACAGAAATCAAAACAGCACAGTAGTGGCATAAGAACAGACACACAGATCAATGCACCAGGATAGAGGGCCCAGAAATAAACCCACACACCTGTGGTCAATTAATTTATAATGATGGCAACAATATACAATGGAGAAGAGTCTCCTCAACAAGTGGGGCTAAGTAAACAAAAAACCCAATCAAAAAATGGGCAGAAGACTTTAACAGACATTTTTCAAAGGCATACAGATGGCTAACAAGTACATGAAAAGATGCTCAATACTGCTAATTATGAGAGAAAATGCAAGTCAAAACAATGAGATAACACTTCATAATATCAGAGATATCTGACTCAAGATATCAGTCAGAATGGCTGCCATCAAAAAGCCTACAGATGATAAATGTAGGAGAGAAAGTGGAGAAAAGAGAACCCTTGTATACTATCGATGGGAATGGTGCAGCCATCAAGCAAAGCAATATAGAGGTTCCTCAATAACTGAACTACCATATAATCCAGCAATTCCACTTCTGGGCATATGTCTAGAAAAAATGAAAATACTAATTCAAAAAGATACATGCATCCCAATGTTCATAGCAGCACTATTTACAACAGCCAAAACATCGAAGTAATGCATCAGCAGATGAATGAATAAAAAAGATGTGGTGTATACACACACACACACACACACAGACATAAATAATACTCAGTCATAAAAAAAAGAAATTCTGCCATTTGCAGCAATATGGGTGAACTTAGACCATTAATCCTGCAATAACATTTAATGGAGTATAATCTGCAAAAATACTGAATTGCTATGCTGTATACCTGAAACAAATACAATACTGTAAATCAACTATACTTCAAAGAAAAATATTACATATTAAAATATATAATTAACTAGTACTACTATATTTAATAGTGTTTATATTTAATTTTATATTATATATTTCCTTTAAAAATTTTTATCTCAAATATTTCAAACATACAGAAAAGTACAGAAAATAGAACAGTTCCCATGTACCCACCAACCAAATTTAAGAATTTAAGTTCTGTCCTGTTGTTGTTTAGAACCTATGGACTGTATCCCGCCAAGCTCCTCTGTCCATGAGATTTCCCAGGCAATACTGGAGTGGGTATCTCCAGGGAAATATTCCAGAACCAGGGATCAAACCTGCATTTCCTGTATTGGCAGGTGAATTCTTTACCACAGAGCCATCAGGAAAGTCCAAACTCTATCCTATCTCTCTTTTAAAGGCATAAAACATTTCAGATATATTTAAAATTCTATTCACATCCCCTATCTTCCTCTTCAGAGATTGTGACTATCCTAAAGTGGATGTGTATAATTTCCCTGCACACTGTTCTTTTACTGCTCATCTAACATCTTTTTCCAATTTTTAAACCCTGGGTTTCCTCATCAGTAAAATGAAGGCAATAGCTCCCAGTTGCTGGGAGGATGAGAAATACTATGCATAAGGTGGCTATCATGGAGACTGACACTGAAAATGATTCAAAATCCAGAAATTTCCTTTCCTCCTACTAGACTATAAGTTGCTTTTTGACAGTTAGCAGCCTGGCTAACTAAATGTTGTTTCAATTTAATTCTATTTATTATTTCACACAGAATACTCTGCCTCTCCCTTCTCTAATTTTGGCTCTCTCACCTAGCCTCTCTTACTATGTCCCTTAACCCTTTTTTTTATGTCCCTTAACCCTTTTTTTTTAAATTGAAGTCTAATTGCTTTACAATGTTGAGTTAGTTTCTGCTGTAGATAAAGTGAATCAGTTACATAAATTGCTCCTTAGTCTTGACAGGGGCACAGGAGTGCTATTTATCCACGCTGGTGGCACCAGGAGCTGTCAGGCTGTTGTTTTTTCTCCATAACTTGTGGCCGACTCTTTTGCGAATCCATGGACTGCAGCCCGCCAAACTTAAGCCCCTCCATCTATGGGATTTCCCAAGCAAGAATACTGGAGTGGGTTGCCATTTCCTTCTCCAGGGTATCTTCCCAACCTCGGGATCAAATCCACGTCCCCTGCATTGGCAGGAAGATTCTTCACCACCAGGGAAGCCCCAGAGGTCAGGTACCTGCTCCATTTCAGGCTATTAGACGCCCAAAGTCCCAGGAAACCTAAGGGCAAGGAAGGGGTACAGGAGGAATCCCCCTGTTGTACAAGGTGTTTGGGGTCTGTCAGTTCTTAATTTAAATCCTATCTCTAGCATTTAATCACCAAACGCCCTTTCACAAAGACACTTGTTTGTGCTCTAGTCTCAATGGCTAAAGCGAGAACAATCTTATCTAGTTCTCTGGGTGGTGATAAAAGAACACTTACTAAGTAGTAAGTATTCTATGAAGCATTTAATGGCATATACAGCATTAAGTCGGTTCAATACTAACAAAAACTCCAAGATGTAAAATATGTCATCTCCTTCATATGAGAAGGAAACTGAGGCACTTTAAGTAAGTGTTGGAGTCACAGGCCTAGTATGTGCAAAGGCCGGCATTTGAACTCAGGAAATCTGATACAGTCTATGCCCTTTACCATTTCCCTTTGCTGGGGGTAAGCTACAGTTTTAAGATAACGGGGTGTCGGGCACGTGGTATACAGCAGACACTGCAACATACAGACATACAGCAACACCACTGCCTGACTCATGATTGTGGAAGGCCATTTAGAAAAGTACAATGTTTTGGTTTTCCCTCGGTAGAGAAAGGAGTAGTGCCAGAAACCTAGACAGTGACTGTTCTGGGCCAGGCATCAGGGCAGGCACTGGTGCACACGAACAAGAACATAGTGGGTGCTAGGCCGGCTCTGCCCCCGACGCCCTGGGACAGCCTGGTAAAGTTGGCCCCGGCCCCCGGGCCTCTGTTTCCGTATCTGAGGATCCCTGTGCGTCTCTTCTCCCCTCCAAAGCCGCTCGCGGGGCTGGAGGACTCCGGACTCTGGCCTAGCCGAACCGAGGGAGGCAACGGGAGGAACCGGAGAGGCCTCCCTCTCCAACCCTGGTCCGGATGGCCAGGAACGGAGCTGGGCCAGGCGGACAACCGGTTAAGTCAGCGTGCGCGGGAACTCACCTCTCCCACAGTCGAAGCGGGCGGAACCAGGATCTAAACTACCCGCGTTGCTGCCACAGCCCCGGAGCCGCGCGCCAGCTCATTTCGCGCCGGAAGCCGACAGATTCCGATTGGCTGCGTCCTGAAGAAGCCGACCAATACTGTTCCTCGGTGGCACCTGTCCCCCGCCCCGTGGGCTGCCGGGGCGGGATCCGCGTACAGGACCGAGAAGGGCACGTATTCACAAAACCCAATCAAAGCCCGGAATTCGAGGTCAGGTGACTACAGTTAATCCCCCGGGCTTCCGGCCTTGGCAGAGTCCTTTGTTTTTAGTGAGTTACACAGTGTGTTGCAAAAGACTGTCAATGGGAAAGGCTCCTGGAACCCGACTGTGGCTCAATTGAAAACCCCTGCGTTTAAGGGGAGCCTGAGATTTTTGAGTTCCCATAGGCCCCGTCAAGGCTCTGCGCCCCGGTCTTTCTGGTTCTGTCTCTGAGACTTTGACTCCTGTTCTCTCCACCTGCTTGGTAATGCAGGCTTCTGCCCCACACAGTATCTTCTAAGTGAGCAACTGGAAATTGTCATTGATGGAGAAAAGGGTGTCAAACTCAGATGCATGCAGGGACACGTGCAGTAGGTGCTGAGGTTCCAAGTGATTTTTTTCCATCAGGGAACTGTGGGCCCTCTGATGCCAGATTTTCTTTGCTTCCTAAAGAAATGAATTTATTTCTCCTTAAAAAAAAAAAACACTGAAAAATCTGTTTCAGTCCTATTTTGTGAGTGAAATCTGCTAGTTTTTTTTTTTCCTTTTTCTAGGAAAACGTTGCTTTACAATGTTGTTAGTTTCTGCTGTATAGCAGTGTGAAACAGCGGTATGTATACATATATCCCCTCTCTTGAATCTCCCTCCTTCATCACCACCCCCATGGCAGCCCTCTAGGTCATCACAGAGAACAGAGTGGAGCTCACTATGCTCTGCAGCAACTTTCCAGTAGCTGTCTAAATCTGTTTTTTAAATGTTCAGAAACAAAGCCGAATGGGACAATCAGAACACATCGCTGTTGAATTACTCTAGGAAAAAAGCAAAAGCAGAGTCAGCTAAGCAGACTTTTAATAGCAAAATGATCAAACAGGAAGCAGGATAGGGATAAGGAACAAAGAGTGACTAATTTACCAAAAGAATAAAGTAGTAACTTTTAAATTCAAAGGGTACCACAAGTAGGATCCTCTCTCAGAATTCAATAAAGTTTGACACTCAGCTGAGATCGCCTAAACCACACACTGCCTGAATTCTCCTTTTGCTTTTTCCTTCACTGTCTTTCAACTTTGTGCTCTTTGTGCCAGGCCCTGGAGAGTGTCCTTACGTTCTATTAGACATCTTTTGAGGAGGCAGACACTTGTACACTTCATGACGACAACACAAGCAGTAACAATGCTGACCTATGTTACAGAGGTGCCTAGCAGGGCAGATTTGTCAGGTTAGGTGAGGATATCAAAAGGTGTGCTGATAGCTGAGAGATAAATAGCATGTATGATCTGTAGGCAAAGGCCAGGAGACGAAAAACTATGTAAGGTAGCTTTAAGAAACTATCCAAAAAGGGGGAAATAGAAATGACACATTAGAGGAAACAGATGACACACCTCAGTTTGGACTTCACCCTGAAGACAAATAGCAATTGTTGGTTTTGGGGGCAAGTGAGATAGGGAGATGTTTGTATATTACTCTTAAGTAAACTCAATGATTTTATATATATGCATATAGCTATGTATACATATATAAAAATATGTATATTTATACATACATACATAAATACATACATACATAAAAATGTACCTCCACCACTCAAGTTATATACCATTTCCAGCACCCCATAAGATTCCCTTGTGGAACTTCCATTGTGGAGTTAATTTCTGCCCTTTTCCTTTCTGAACATAGCATCTTCAAGCTTCATCTGTCTGTATACCAGTAGTTCATTCTCTTTTATTACTGTGTAATGTAGAGGAAAAATGAAAAAATTTGAAATGGTCTAAAAACATGAGCTCTGAAATGGTTTAAAAATTGAGTATCCAGTGAAACCGTGGTGCTGCTTGCACACCCTTCTGGGATATCTGACTTGATGAGTGTTCCATACCTTTCATTGTCATGGAAATAACTTAGTTTTTTTAAAGATCTATTATTGTGTATAGAAATGCAAATTGTGTTCAGTGCAACGTATTTTATTACTGCACTGTGGGTTTGATCATTTCTGCCAGGTTTTGCATCTATTTGTAAAGCATTTCATTATTCCTCATTTATTATGTGCCTGCCTGCAGTACTTTGAACTTTTCTTTGAACTTTGTATTAATATCTTCCTGGGTTTCAATAATTAATGACAAATATTAATAAAACCTTTGATACATTCATTTTATATCTATGTGAGAGCCTTGATTAAACTAGATTTTTAAAAATTATTCTTTAACAATAGTCTGCAGTTGTATGAACACAGTACAGTTTATTTATCCATTCATCCGCTGATGGGCTTTTTAATTTTTTCCCTTTGCCTATTGTAAAGCTGCTATGGATGCCTTTGTATAAATCTTTTTGTGAATAAGTGCATTAATTTTTCTTGGTAAGTATCTAGGAATGGAATTTCTGAGTCATGGAGTAACTTTGGTGAAAACGGACTTGTTTTCAAAGTGATTGTACCATTGTACACTCCCACCAACACCATATGAGTTTCTTACTTTCTGTATCCTTGCCAACACTGGGAGTTGTCAATCTTTTCCATTTTAGCTATCTGTAGTTCTTCTATGGTATCTCATTGTGGTTTAATTCACTATTACCATAGAAGGTTTTTATGAGGGAAGGGACTGAATAAATTTACATTTTAGAAAATGCTTTCTGGCTCTTATGTAGAGAATGATACTTGTACACCAAAGCTCATAGCAGCATTATTCACAATAACCAAAATGTGGAAAGAATTCAAGTGTCCATTGGCAGACGAATGGATAAACAAATGTGGTCTATACATGCAAAGGAATATTATTCAATCTTAAGAAGGAATGAAATTCTGATATATGCCACAACATGAATGAACTTTTCATACTGTCATGGGGTTCTCAAGGCAAGAATACTGAAGTGGTTTGCCATTCCCTCCTCCAGTGGACCACATTTTGTCAGAACTCTCCACCATGACCCGTCTGTCTTGGGTGGCCCTACACAGCATGGTTCATAATTTCATTGAGTTAGACAAGGCTATGGTCCATGTGATCAGATTGGTTAGTTTTCTGTGATTGTGGTTTTCATTCTGTCTGCCCTCTGATGGATAAGGATAAGAGGCTTATGGAAGCTTCCTGATGGGAGAGACTGACTGAGGGGGAAACTAGGTCTTGTTCTGATGTGCAGGGCCATACTCAGTAAATCTTCAATCCAATTTTCTGTTGATGGGTGGAGCTGTGTTCCCTGCCTGTTGTTTGACCTGAGGCCAAACTATGATGGAGGTAATGAAGATAATGGCAACCTCCTTCAAAAAGTCCATGCAATGCCACACTCAGTACCCCCGACCCCACAGCAGGCCACCGCCAACCCATGCCTCCACTGGAGACTCCTGAACACTCACAGGCAAGTCTGGGTCAGTCTCTTGTGGGGGCACTGCTCCCTTTTCTTGGGTCCTGGTGTGCACAAGCTTTTGTTTGTGCCCTCCATGAGTCTGTTTCCCCAGTCCTGTGTAAGTCTGGCAGCTCTATGGTGGGGTTAACAGCAACCTCCTCCAAGAGGGCTTATGCCATACCCAGGTCTACTGCACCCAGAGCCCCTGCCTCTGCAGCAGTCCACTGCTGACCTGTACCTCCACAGGAGACACTCAAACACAGTTCTGGCTCAGTCTCTGTGTCCTGGTGCTCACCAGGTTTGTTAGAGCCCTCCAATCATCTCTGGTGTGTATGGGGTTTGGTTCTAAATGCAATTTTGCCCCTTGTACTGTCTTACTGAGGCTTCTCCTCTGCCGTTGGACATGGGGTATCTTTTTTGGTGTGATCCAGCATTCTCCTTTCTATGGATGTTCAGCAGTGAGTTGTAATTTTGGAGTTCTCCCAGGAGATGAGCACACGTCCTTCTACTCTGACACCGCAAAAGGCAAGATGGGTGAGGATGTTTGCTATGACCAGTGCATTCTCTTGGCAAACTCTGTTAGCCTTTGACCTGCTTCATTTTGTACTCCAAGGCCAAATTTGCCTGTTACTCCAGGTATCTCTTGACTTCCACTGGAATGGGTGAATTTAACTCAGATGACCGTTATATCTACTACTGTGGGCAAGATCCCTTAGAAGAAATGGAGTAGCCATCATAGTCAACAAAAGAGTTCAAAATGCAGTACTTGGATGCAATCTCGAAAATGACAGAATGATCTGTTTGTTTCCAAGGCAAACCATTCAATATCACGATAATCCAAGCCTATGTCCTGTCTAGTAATGCTGAAGAAGCTGAAGTTGAATGGTTCTATGAAAAACTATAAGACCTTCTAGAACTAACACCCAAAAGGATGTCCTTTTCATTATAGGGGACCTGAATGCAAAAGTAGGAAGTCAAGAGATACCTGGAGTAACAGGCAAATTTGGCCCCGGAATGCAAAACATAGCAGGTCAAAGGCTAACAGAGTTTTGTCAAGAGAACACACTGGTCATAGCAAACACCCTCTTCCAACTACACAAGAGAAGATTCTACACATGGACATCACCAGATGGTCAATACCAAAATAAGATTGATTATATTCTTTGCAGCCAAAGATGGAGAAGCTCTATACAGTAAGCAAAAACAAGACCAGCGGCTAACTGTGGCTCAGATCATGAACTCCTGTTGCCAAATTCAGACTTAAATTGAAACCAGTAGGGAAAACCACTAGAACATTCAGGTATGACCTAAATCAAATCCCTTATGATTATACAGTGGAAGTGAGAAATAGATTTAAGGGATTAGATCTGATAGAGTACCTGAAGAACTGTAGATGGTGGTTCATGACATTGTACAGGAGACAGGGATCAAGATGATCCCCAAGAAAAAGAAATGCTAAAAGGGAAAATGGTTGTCTGAGGAGGCCTTACAAACAGCTGAGAAAAGAAAAGATGCAAAAGGCAAAGGATAAAAGGAAAGATACACCCATTTGAATGCAGAGTTCCAAAGAATAGCAAGGAGAGATAAGAAAGCCTTCTTCAGTGATCATTGCAAATAAACAGAGGAAAACAATAGAATGGGAAAGACTAGAGATCTCTTCAAGAAAATTAGATACCAAGGGAACATTTCATGC